CCTTCACCTGCAGGCCTTCAGTGTGACCTCACTACTGATTAAGAACTTAAATCATGCCAAGGTCCTTGTGATTAGATATTGCTCTCCCATATAACATGTACCTCACAACAAGAGTAAATGTAAGTTTTACTAATTTTTCTGTTACTTCTATAACATTCTTCATTATTTTTCTAAATAAATTCTTACCTTTTGAGGTTTAGATCATCCTCTAATGCCATGTTCCATGGCTTCCTCATACTATCATCCATCAAAATAAGACATCCTTTGCTCTTCCACTCTGCTCCTTCTTATCCTGCTCAACATGATGTCAACATCTTCATCAATCACCCCACAATTTAATTTTCTTATTTCCAGTGAATTTTTCTAGACTCAATCACTCACACATTCACACAGACACACTTCTGACTTATTCTTCAAATTAAACTCCTGGCACATGAAATTAAATATCTGAGTCTTGGGGTAAAATTTACTGCTGTTTTTTATCTATTTAATTTTTTAATATTAATTTTATTGAGAAAGTAATAGCATTGAAACAGTTTCAAAAGAGGTTAGTAGGACAGTTACAATAATTAATACATTGCATACTGTTGTCGTCATAGTAATTATTCATAGTACAAGATGCAGACATGATATCTTGTCTAAACACTATTAGTACAAATCTTTCTTCTCACTGGACTAAGAGAAAGTAGCTCTATATTTGTAACAACTATCTTGTATATGCAGATATATATTTTTCACTAAAAATTGGTCTTCATTTATATCCAGCTTTTTCATTTACTTTTGTCATAGATGGGTATTACATTGCCTTTCAAATATTGTAGGTATGTGAATTCAGCAAAGTAATCCAATAAATTCCAGTAGTCCATAATAATAATGGATTATCCGCAGGACTGGCAGTCACAGGTTGTTGACTTGAACCTCTTACAGTTCAGAATATTAATATGGCTTTATTTTTATACCTCATTTTTATACTTTTATGCTAGATTTTTTTATGAGCAGAATATATTTATTGAGGGAAAGAAAGCTCCTGTCTGAGAGATGGACAGGAGGGGGGCCCGAGCAGGTTGTTTCCCCTATGCTAGATTGTTAACATCAAGATAAATCATGACCTATATAACATAAAATGTAACTTTTGTACATGACAAGGTCAGTCAAATCCCCTCAGGATTTACCCTGAAACCCTGTATAATAGTTTGTAGATCTTTTGTCAGTGTCAGCTATGTGGATGAATCACAGCCATTGCTTGGCCAATGTGCTCTCAGCGAAAGGCTGAGAGAATGTTTTCTCTCCATGTGCCTCTCCATAGGCACTCTCTACATCATCAATCATTTTCCTCTGTGGTCCCGTAATCTCCTTGATCAGAAAATTTGGGACACCACTGAGTTACAAGATGTTATAATACAGGGTCTTGTCTGTCCTGACTCCTCACTGACTTGAAGGACTAGGGTCAAAATGTTGCACATCCCTGTAGCCCTACTTTTTCTCTAATTTTTTGGTCTGCAACCTTAAGTTGTTAACCCTCAGAAGAGAAGCTTAATGATTTCATTATCCTAAAACATAGGTAGGTGAGCTTAATCTCACTATCTGTCTGAATATCGAATGCCTTACACATAATATGGAACACGTGTGCCAGCCAAATAGATCACTGGATTAAAGCACCTGCAGGCAGGTGAAGGGGGCAAGGGTTTGATCCCTTGCTTGCTGTGCCAGCCCTGCCCCTGGAATGCACTGAGATAGCAATTGAGACGGGCTAGTGATTCACACCTGTATTCCCAGTTCATGGGGGGATACAAAGAGGCAGATCACTACAACCCTGATGTAGTAGTAGAACACCAAAAACCCTGTAAACCCTTCACTGAAACACCAAAATGATGATAATAATAAAAATAAAAATAAAAATAAAAATAAAAATAATAATAATAATAATAATAATAATATGAAACAAGTTTTTTCCATCAATCATTGATCTGGTAAACTTTAAATCTCTACAGTTTGTGAAAAAATAAAAAATACTAATAGTAAAAACATAGATAAAACAATTGCAGGTATTTATATAGACATTAAGAAATCTAACCATACACAACATTGTAGCAGGACAGTCCTATGACATTTTTTCTTGCCTCTTGTATTCATTTATTACATTTATTATTTTTAAGCAAACATTTTCTCGAGAGAGAGTATTATAGCAGCAATTGTTATGACATTAGAAACAGAACACTTTTAGAAGACCAGAATGACAGGCATTCCAAGAATGGCCCTAGTATTACACACTGCTATCCTCAGTGCAGTTTCTTAGTTCACAGGTAGCAGCATATATAGTTAGTCAGGGTGAGAATCATACCAATTATCTGCTAGTATCAAAAATCTGATGGAGAGTCTCAGGATCATTGCCTTTACAATCCTGTGCACATAAATGTATGGATTTTCCCCTGCCATATTTTCTAGATTTTCTCCTTGCCCTCTGCTCATTGTTTAATCATTAAATTCTCACTTTCCATTTAGTTGAGTCATATCTTTCAATTTTTATTTCTGCTTTTGAATTCTTGCACTAACAAGACTATACAATATTTATACATGTGGATCTGGTGTATTTCACTTATGAGTATATCTTCAAATGGCATCCACTTATACATAAATCCTTCAAATTTATCATTCTTTATAGCTGAGTAATACTCTATTGTATATAAACATCAAATATTTTCAGCCATTCCTCAGGTGACGGGCATTTTGGTTGCTTCCAAAACTTGGCTATAGCAAATTGTGCTGCTATAAACACAGGTACACATATATCATTATGATATGATGTTTTCAGTTCTTTTGGAAAAATTCTGAGCAGGAGTATAGCTGTATTGGATGTGATTCTCAATCCTACTTTTTTAAGGAGGCTCCACACTGATTTCCATAATGGTTGCACCAGTCTATATTTCCACCAGCAGTGGAGAAGTGTTCCTTTGTCCCCACAGCCTCTCCTACACTTGTTGTTGGGTGATTTCTTAGTGATAGCCACTCTTTATTGGGTGAGATGATATATCAGTGTTGTTTTGATTAGCATTTCATGAATGACTAGTGATGTGGAGCATTTTTTCATGTATGTATTAGCTTATAGAATTTCTTCCTCTGAGAAGTATGTGTTCATTTTGCATGCCCATTTCTGGATTAGGTCTTTAAATTTTGGTGCCCTAATTTTTTTAGTTCTTTATAAATTCTAGATAAGACAGCTTTATCTGAGAGCTTATTACTTAATTTTTTTTTGGCTGAGGAGATGGCTCAGTGGAATAAGCAATTCCCTGACAAATGCAAGGGCCAGAGTTCAATCCCCGGTTCCACCAAAAAAAAAAAAAAATCATATTTTCTAAGTTTGTGGGTTGTCTTTTCACTCTGTTAGTAATTTGTTTTGACATCCAAAAACTTCTCAATAAGAGGAGGTCTCAGTTGTTAATTCTTTCAGGTGTTATCCGTGCATTTTGATTTTTGTTCATGAACTCTGCCTACCCCTATGTCTTCAAGAGTTCCTCCTACTTTCTCTTTCAGGAGATTTAGTGTTTCTGTTTTAATCTTTAGATCTTTAATCCATTTTGACTGTAGTTTAGTGCATGGTAATATACCTGAGTCAAGTTTTGGTTTTCAGCACTTAGAGAGCTAGTCTTTCCAGCATCACTTTTAAAGAGGCTATTTTTCTCCTAGTAAGCATGTTTGGTCCTTTGTTGAAGATAAGGTGACTGAGTATGTTTGTAGTTGCTTCAGCATCTTCTAATCTATTCTATTGATTCTCAGGTCTCTTTTGTTGTCAATATTATGCTAATTTTATCACAGTAGCTTTGTAGTATAATTTCAAATCAGGAATTGTAATGCCTCCTGCCTTGTCTTTGTTGCTCAGGTTTGCCTTTGCTATTCTATTTTTACTCTGGCTCAAAATAAATTTTAGGAATGATTTTCCTAGGTCTGAAAAGTATAATGGTGCGATTTTGGTAGGAACTGCATTAAATCTGTATAAAAATTTTGAGAGTATGGCCATCTTCCCAATGTTGGTTCTTCCTATTCAGGATCAGAGAATATATTTCCATTTTTTTAAATTCTTTACGATCTCTTTTTTCGGAGTACTGTAATTTTCATTGAATAGATCTTTGACTTCTTTAGTTAGGTTAATTCCTATTTCATGTTCCTTAGTGCTACTATAAAAGGTATTGTTTCTCTAATTTCCCTCTCAATGTGTTTGTTATCTGTGTAGAGAAATGCTATTCACTTTTGGGCATTGACATTGTATCCTTTTATGCTACTGAATTTGTGTATTAATTCTAGTAGCTTCTTGGTGGAATTTTTTGGGTCTTTCAAGTAGAGTTTCATGTCATCTGCAAGTATGATAGTTGAGCTTCTTCTTTGTCTATTGTTATTCCATTTATTTTTCTCTCTTTTCTAAAAGCTCTAGCGAATGATTCCAGAACTATATTGAATAGGAGTGGTGACAGAGGACATCATTGTCTTGTACCAGATCTGAGAGTAAAAGATTTCAGTTTTTCCCCATTTAGAATTATGTTAGCCATTGTGTTGTCATCCATGTCTTTTATCAGATTGAAGTAGAGGTCATCTATTCCAATTTTTTGTAGGACTTTGAACATGAATGAGTGTTGGACTTTGTCAAAAGACTTTTCTGCAACCACATTTGAGATGATCATGTGGTTTTTTTATTTGGCTCTATTAATATAGTGTATTACATTTATAGATTTGCATATCTTGAACCATCCTTGCATCCCTGACATGTATCCTACCTGGTAGTGGTGTATAATGTTCTTAATAATTTGCTGTATTCTGTTTTCTAGTATTTTTTGAGGATTTTTGCATCTATGTTCATGATGGAGATTGGTCTGTAGTTCTCTTTTGTAGTTGCATCTTTCTCTGGTTCTGTTATCAGTATAATACTTGCCTCCAGGAATGATTTTGAGAGGATTGCTTCCTTTTCAATTTCATTGAAGAGTTTTAGGAGTATTGGGATTATATCTTCTAAAAATATGGAAAGCTTCATGAATATGTATGTCATCCTTGCACAGGGCCAATGCTACTCTTCACTGTATCCTTCCAATTTTAGTACATGTGTTGCTGAAGCAAACACTATCAATCTTGGGGCTGGTGAGATGGCTCAGTGGTCTAAAGCACCTACTTAAAACAAGCTAAGCTAAGCTAAGCAAAGCACAGGGACCGCAGTTCAATCCCCCAGCACCACATGCCAGCCAGCCCCGCCCCCTGGTGGGCTGAGCTGGCCACACACAATAAATAAATAAATAAATAAATAAATATTAAAAAAAAACACTATCAATCTTGTCTCTTTGCCTAGTCCCTATGTCCTTTTATATTATGGAGGCTCCCTATTCCTTAACTACAGTGTTATAGCCATCTATTCATTCCCTTCTCTTCTTTTCCTCTTCTCATCATTGATTTGTTTAGATTCTCTTTTCATTCTTTTCTTGTTCATATGTAGGCTAAGTTATGAGTATATCCTTTGCCACTTATTGGCCTAAATTTTCACCTGAGCATCTCCATAACCAGTAACTTTCACATCCAATCAATTGTTCAATTTCGATTATATGAACTTCCGAACATGTCTTCTACTATGAGCTCAGCATTTCATAAATAAATTAATGCTATGTTCTGCATCCCATTCTATCCTTCTCCATAATTCAGTGCTTACTGGAGAAACAGATTTAATTTAAGATATACAAGTACATAAAAATTTCCCAGATTTTCTGACAATGGGTGACCAGAGAGTCAGATGTGGAAGAATAGAAAAAAGCTATCTGATCAATGGAGATCTGAGAGATCTAGTCAAAGTTTGGAGTCCCATGCAGGTCCATATCAGGATGCCAAAAGGTCTGTGACAAAATGCTAAAGAATCTGTACTGGAGGCTGTGAGAAAGCCAAGAGATGATAAGCAAACTGAAGTCAGAGACAGGAGCTCTGCTTTCATGAAGATACAGAGGGATTCCTTCCTTCTTCATTTCCCTATCACACGATTCCAGTGGCAATCCTCTCTAGTATGGGTCTTCTAAACCTAGAACTATGTTGATCAAACAATTTAGTTGGGATTTCCTTACTCAAATTTGCACAGTATGTTAAGAATCACTCCTTCTTTGAACCTTCCTCCACCCTGCTTCCCAAGGGGACACTTTTAAATCACAAAACACATCACAAATTAGAGCTGTTTAATACCTCCTTGTAACTTAAGAAGAATTCTAAACTATTCAGTTGCCAATAGGGATTAAGCAACTGAGGCCATCCCTGCATCTTCACTTTCAGCTCCCACTATGCTCTCAGAATCCTTTGTTTCAGTAACTCTCACACATTGGCAGTTCTCTCAAAATACAAGGTCCTATGCATTTCTTTAAATCTCCTGTTGCTTCTACCTGTAGATTTCACTTCTATACCTTTATTGCTGTCTAAGATATCCTCATATTTCAATTTTCTTTTCTTTTACTCCTTTGTGCTTAATTTAAACTATCGTAAAACTTATTCAACGGAACTGATGGGCCAGGGAAATAGTTCACTAGGGCCAGAGAGATAGCTCAACAGGGCCATGGAGATAGCTCAGTAGAATAAGTAGCTGCCTGGAAAGCGAAGGGTCCTAAGTTCAATCCCCAGCACTGAAAAACAAACAAACAAAAAGAAAACAAACAAGAACTGGAGTCATTGCCTATCTAGCCAATAGACTCTGAGTTAGTCACTATACTAAAGTGATTTAAGATCAGAGGCATGCCTTTTTTTTGCAGTGCTACGTACAACATAAACTCTACGGAAACAGTATGTAGCTTCTTAGGAAACAATTATTCACTGTGTAAAGAAATTGGCAAATTCCTCACTTCTCCTAGAATTTCAACAGTCTTCATGATAACTCATTAAATCAATAAATAAAACTATATTTCTCAACATTTATATGATTTGTTAAAGATAAGATAGACATAAATGCAGTGAAAATATTCTTGTTTTCTTTTCAAATTGGTTGTCAAGTTAGGTGTGAGTTGATCATATTTCCGCAAATGTTGCCAGAGAGCAATTATTTATAGAGCTTGGCAAGAAACTGCCTCAAAATGAATTATTTAATTCATCACTGATTTTTCAGAAAGCAAGAAATAAATTTAAATTTAGCATGAAGATAAAACTTGCAAGTATGACAAATTAGGATAACCGGTGACCAATTTTAAGGAGACTGGTTCAGTTTAGAACTTAAGCAAATAAACTGCATTTAGAGTATAGCACTGAATCATGTCAAGACAAGGGCCAGGGAGATAGCTCAGCGGCATAAGCTCCTGTCTGAATAACATATAGACAATGTAGCATCAGTGTCACTGACATTCCTTAATCATGCAATGAACTTTCCCTAAGCCTAACCTCACTAATAGACAAAGTTTAACCTAGGGTTTCAACAAGGAACAATTTACAAGGCTTTCTAAAGTGTCAGGGAAAAAGGAATTTATAGGAGTGCAATCACTTCTGGCTACTCCTTTTATTGTATATGGGCCCAGAACACAGAAGATTTGGCACAGGAGCATCCAAAAGAAGAGCAGTATGGGAGCTGTTTGGATGCTTAGTTATTGCTGCATCTCCATTGCCTACAGCATGCCTGATACATAACAGATGTTCAGTAAGTAGTTATTGCCTAAAGAAATGCAAGGGCACATAATTGTATGAGTAAATAACCATAAGACAAAGACATCTTCAACAATAAAGATAACACAGTTGCAGAGAAAGAAATGAGCTTATTTGAGGACTGCCTAATACATTTATTTCAATAGGTGTGGACTGTAAGTTTATGCTTTTTGTATAGATCTTCATTGCCAGGATTATTGTGTATGCAGTAAAGCAATAATAATAATAATAATAATAATAATAATAATAATAATAATTAGAAAGATTTGGTATGACCACAACTGAGACTTAGGAAAAATAATTTGACAATAATATGAAGAAGAAATGTGTATAGAAGAGATGGAAGTAAGAAAAAGTTGGAAAATCATGGCAAACATTCAAGGAAGTAATAATAAAAATGTCGTGATACTGAAAATTGGTGAGAAAGTGGATCAAGTACAACTCTCCTTTTCTGGTGGTGGTATTAAGTTAAAATTTGACTTGCTGGAGGCCAAATTAAATGAGGCCAAGTACTCTGGTAAAATGATTTATTTGAAGTTACTTCTGAGTAGATAGAGGGGTTCCTTACTGTCAGATCACTGCACTTTTTATAGGTGGTAGGGGTCTTTTATCCTAAGGAACATAGGGAAGGGGAATGCAGAAATAAAGTGGAGATCTCCATGCTTCCTTTATCATTCTCAGCCATGTTCAGCTCATTTAACACTTATTTGGGGAAATGAAAATGGGCTCCTGCTTCCTGGGGCTACCATTTGCATATTATACCACTGTAGCTAAGATTAAAAGAAGAGGGCAGGTTGATTTTGTGGCTAGCACAATAACATACAGATAAACAACATTCAGAGAAGTTCCTTCTATAAAAGAAAAATGTTCTAACTTTGAACGTTCCATTTTGTAGTGCCCCTTACAGTAGTGAGTGGGTTATGGAGTCACAGCCACCATCTTCACCTACTCAGGTTGCTTCATAGATAGCTGCTGTCTTACCTTTATTTCAGAAAGAACACTATGTGTCTTCTCTAGGTAATGAGTGCTCATTTACACCTTTAAAAAGGTGATTCCTATCGTCAAAGATCAAAAAGACCCAAACAAAAATTGCATACTCTTCCAAGTGTTACTTAATTTTATTAGGGATGAGGGAGCTTCATAAAGAATGAAAGGTAAAATTGAAATTTGGTAACTGAAGGACTGATTTATCAATCTTTCCCAAATGAACCAAACTTTTCATAAACACCTATTTGCCTGATCTGTAGTAGGATTCAGGTTATATTCCATTACAATTTTTTGAAATCCTCTAGGACCTGGAATCTGATCAAATCTGGGATTTGATTTTTCTTCATGAAATCTTTGCATATCCCTGTCTTCAAGTGGTCCTCCTGTTCTCTCTTCCAGGAGATTTAGTGTTTCTGTTTTAATGTTTAGATCTTTAATCCATTTTGACTTTATGTTAGTGCATGGTGATAGACCTGTGTCAATTTCTAGTTTTTGGCATGTAGAAAGCCAGTTTTTCCAGTACCATTTGTTAAAGAAGTTATCTTTCTTACAGTAAGCATGTTTGGATCTTTGTTGAGGATAATGTGTGTGAGTATGTTTGTAGAGGCTTCTTCGTCATCTAATCTGTGCAGTTGATCCTGAGGTCTATTTTGCTGCCAATATAATGCTGATTTTATCACAGTAGCTTTGTAGTATAAGATGCAGGTAAAAAGGTAGGAACAATTACAGAAAAGAATTCCATGGTTACTGATAATACAGCTGTTCATGAGATAATGGCAAGAAATATAGAGCAAACAGTTAATCTGACTCAGGAAATACCTCAATCTTCTTTTAAATGTTTCTGCTGATGAACCTACTAAGATAATCTCCTACAGTCAACTGATTAAAGGCTTTAATTTTGACTGTGAAATCCCTTCATAATAGCAATCACAGTAGTGCTTGATTGAATAATTGGGAAACATCTCCACACTACATGATCACCACTGCCTTCCGTTCTATCTCCATAGTTAAATCTGGCCAATTGTCATATTGGAAAATCATAACACATTTGAAACATACTTAATAAAGTAACTATGGCATCCATAATATCCATTACCAAAAAATAGAACCACAAGGACCAGCTATATAATTCAAGACATTTCATGCTAAAGAAATTTTCTTACTTTGCTCTCATTGTTGAGACAAAATATCTGATGCCCCAAGTTAAGAAAGGTTTATTTAGCTCAGTTTGTAGAGGTTTCAGCCCATAATCAGCTTGCTCCAAAGTAGGTGCCATGGTTGAAGGACAACTGTTCATGTTTGTAGAAGGCAGAAAAAGCAACAACAGCAAAACAGAGGAGAGAAAGCCTCTTTTCCTCCCTTATATTTTATGCAGGCCCCCCGCCCTCAGGTAGGTGTAGCACTCACAGGTTTCCATACCCACCTCTGCACAGGCTGGGGCTGTTTACAAAATGAGGACCATGGTGCCCTGCTGAGTAGAGCTGT